ACTTACGCAAGAGGGCTTTTTCCTGAGCAGGAGCATCAAGAACACTGACGATCTTACATTAGATCGTCAGTGTTCTTGTGCAAGAACTCGTGGCCAGTGTAGACAGCTGGCAAGATTTTGCACAAAAGCAGCTGCTTTTGCGCAAAATCTGGCCAATGTAGACACAGCCTCAATGTCTTCAAACAACAAAGACATTCTCATTAAATATTTTGCAAAAAAACACCCAACCCCAAATCCCTTTATTTAAAAAACAGATCAAGTCACAAATAGTGGCTCGGTATCTTTCCCATTATTCAGCATTATAGGTTGTGGCTCCGATCCTGCATACACTTAAAAATATCCTTAAATTTATTGCTGTAAGTCAAGTTTAAACCCATTGAAATCAATGTAACCTTTACATGCCTAAAGATATGCAAACATGCAAGTGTTAGAATCATAGAATCATAGAATACTAGGACTGGAAGGGACCTTGAGAGGTCATCGAGTCCAGGACCAAATACTGAATAGACCATTGTGGATAGACATTTATCTAACAGGTCTTAAATATCTCCAGAGATGGAGATTCCACAGCCTCCCTGGGCAATTTGTTTGCAGGGCCTGGACCAGTATCAGCTTCAGCAACATCCACAATCCTACAAGTATTTTTGCAGATGCTCAGTTTCAAAGCACATAAGTTTCAGCAACATCCACAGCCACAATCCTACAAGTATTTTTGCAGATGCTCAGTTTCAAAGCACATAAGCAGTACCCCAGAGACAAATTAAGCACATGCATAGCTGTAGACTCAAAGCCTTAATGCATTTCTTTAGCCTGAAATGCTGCCAAACTTCAGGGGGGGGGTACTCTTCTATTGCTTTGGTGTTGGATCTGTGCTGCAGGAGGTACTGAACTCAGTCTAGTTCCTTTTTTGCAAGCACCTGTTTCATTTTGCAAATGTGCACTGAAGCTTTTTTTTCTAAAAGGTACAGTGTTGTCCCCTCTCACGGGATCTGTTGAGTGTCACTGGATTCCTTGTTATGATTGGAGAAGACTCTTAGCTTATAAAAAAAAAAAAGGCTAGACACTCCCTACACAAGTTCACAGAAATGCCTGCAACTATGACCGAAATGCTCCCTTAAAGGCTTCAAAACAAGGCAATGAAAAAGCAGCCCTTTTTCTCTTATGTTCACAATTTTCACGTGAAGTCTCATGCTCTTGGCATTGTGACCTTTTGAATGCCAAAACATCACGTCTAATGACCTCTGCACATGCAGACACAAATACTGCCAGCCCCGTGCCATTTTTAAAGGACAAACGAACCAAGGAGACAATAAAGGCATTGAAGCACTGTGATTCAAACCGGAGCCCAGAACCTGCCAGCTGCTCCTTGCAGAAGCCCCCTGACTTTACCAGAGCTTTGCAGGAGAGCAGGAATCCACCCGCTTACAGAACCACGTCCAAGACATCAGCCTGTAAACTTACCCAAATGTGAGCAGTGGGAGGCCCAAGCTGAGAGTTTTCCATGCACTCGCTCTGAGAAGGTATTTCCTCTGCACTGGCTGTGTTAGTGCTCTCACCAAACACCTGTGTATCATCATCAGTGGACAGCTCATGCTCACAGCCCACCTGATAGCTAGTGAGGAAATACACTGACCACTTCCACCCTGTGTGTGGTGTACTGGTCCTATGCACCAATCCTTTATAATATGCACTCATCCGGGCATGCCCCTATCCTTTGGCGAGGTATTGAACACCCTTAAAGAATCACAGAAAGCGATTTTAAGGACAAGGAGGACCCAGCTAAAAGCTGGAGGAAAGGCGAAGGAGCATGTCCAATTTGAACACCAAGGAACAACACTGCACCTGGACATGCAGTTAAGCTATGTGCACTGTAAAGAATCACAGAGAGAGAGAGAGAGGGAAACAATGTTCCCACTAATTTTTTTTCACCCAGGTATGGAATAAATTTTGTTCTGTGCACCAAGGCATGTGCAGATGTGCCCAATAGAAACCCAGCTGGGGGAGGCTATGGGCACTCTGCTATTCAGCTGTATGGCATTTGAATCTCTCCTGGGAAGCCGCCCAAGCGCTCAGCTTACACGGAACACTGGGGAGAACTGTTGTCCCCCATCACAGAGCAAGGCGCCTGGAAAAGAACACTCTTTTAAAGTGAATGCCTCCCGCAGCGCTGCAGCCACCTGCTGCTTCGCTGCAGAGCTTCTGCCCCCAATCTCAGCTCACTTGGCTTCCCGCTGCAGATGGAACGATGCACTGGTGATGACCGAAAGGCAGCTCTGTACAGGTCACATGGACACGTGCGTGATCCCTGCCAGAAGGCCTGCAAGGTGATTCGATCGGAGGGGAGGTTTGCATTCCCTCTCTGTGCAGGGTGTGGGCCATGCAGGGAGGCGCAGGGGTGCAGTTGGGTGTCTGAGGGCTCCCTGAGCCTCTGCTGACGGGCTGACAGACAGCAGGTGCTGGGCCTTGCAGGATGAGGGCTGGAGGGGAAAATTAAACATCGCATGTGGAGGTACAATAGTATAATGGATTTGGGGTTGCCAGATGGTTTAACAAAAAATACCGAACACCCCTGCAAAAAAAACACTGGGAAAACATTCCATTGCGAGAAAAAGGGGGGGAGACCAAAGTTGTTGAGCAAAAAAAAAAAAAAAAGGCACTGTGACTTTAAATGGCCACGCCCACGCCCTCACCAGATGCTGAAGGGGAAAATTATCCTCACCAGGCTTCCATCCGAGGGAAACAGGAAATATCAGACATTTCACATGTCCGGTATTTTCTGTTTTTTTTTTTTTACCAGACAGGGACCCAAATAACGGAGAGTCTGGGCGAAAACCAGACACCTGGCAACCCTAAGCAGGTTCTCCAGGGACCTGGCAGCGGCATCTTGCCCAGCACGTAGGGGTATGCTGAGCCTGGGGTGGGGAAGAGGTAAGAGAAGTCACCCGTAATGGTCGTTCTTTCTCCTCTTCATTGCAGTGCGTTAATTTGGAAGGTATTTCTGAGCAGCAGGCCTAGTTCCTAGCCAAGCGGCTGTGGGCGGGGGCCTCCCCGTGGCACCAATCTCTCCACCTCGTTGTATATCCCATCAAACCACTTTGCCTAAGATTCTGGCCAGATAGCAGCTCGCCAATCAATGCAAGAGCATCAACTCCTTCCCTGCCATCCAGTGCATGCAATTTGCAGCCTGGCCTTGGGTTTCAGAGCCCCCAAATGCCTGCTCAGCTCAGCCTGGAGCATTTTCGTAGCTGGTAATCGGCCTGATGGATGGCCGACTGCGTGAGTGACCCCGTGGGGGTGATCTGTCTGTGCCTATTGGCGAGATGTCTCCCTGCGAGAAGCAGCGTTTCCATTTCCCTTCCAACCCGTCAGTTCTTTCCCTGTGCAAATGCAGGGCAGGGGACTGGACTTGGTGACCTCTCGAGGTCCCTTCCAGTTCTAGTGCTCTGTGCTGCTGTGATTCCTCTCCTTCCAGGAGCCCTGGTGTGTCCCTGCAAACAGCAAGAGGCAGCGGCTGTCTGGTCAAAGACACAAACCTGGCTCCCATTCTGGCAGCCAGGGGCGGATGAGAGTGCCGCAGGACCCGGGGCAGCACCGCGGGGCCCCGGGCAGCGAAATTTTGCGGGGCCCCGCCTTTGACACTATGCATGCGCCGTGGTGCCATGGCACATGCGCGGGGCCTCAGGAAGCGCGGGGCCCAGGGCAGCCGCCCCGCTCACCCTGCCCACCAAGGCAAGTGTGTGGCAGCATCTGGAGTTCGCTGGGCCCCTGGCAGCGAGGTGGGGAGCTACCGGGGCTTAGCACAGCTCCCTGCACTGGGATGGGGATGCAAGAGGAGGCATCCTCACAAGCCACACAGCTACAGCTTTGGGGCCCTGCAGTTCAGAAGCACCCCACAGAGGCGGTGGCTTTCCCGTTCTCCCCTCCCTGCAATGGGACTGTGGTCAACCCTGCCCGTGGCCCCCTTCCAGATGTGGCACCGGGGCTGGTGGCAGCATGGGCCCTGCAGCCTGGAGCCTTATAAGGAAGGTCTGAAAGGGAAGTCCCCATCCGTCTCACCTGGCAGAACTGCTGCCGACCAGCCATGGGGCTGGCTGGTGCTGAGAGATGCTGCACGCCCACAGCGCCCATGGATTTCAACAGCTGGGGGAAGCATTCGATCCCTCTCGTGACCTAAGGAGGTGCCAGCATGAGAGCCAGCATCAGTGCTGGGCTGTGGATACTGGACATGCCCAGTGAGTCCAGCAACCAGGTGGCTGATGGGGCTGAGTTACCCCCTTGTCCTCCAGCTGCCTCTGAGCCCTTGAAGAGTCAACCCTTGTTCTCTAGAAGGTCTTTCTTTAGGAGACTGACGGGCAGTAATTCCAGCTAAAGAGGAGACGGAAAGGTTCACGGTTAGTATGCCCGTGCACTGGCTGGCTCCTCCATGGAGACATGAATGGGCAACATCTTCCATACAGGGAATGGTGGCAAAATTGCCCCGAGAGGGTAGGAAGGTAATCTGCCCTGATTTAGAAGTGGCTCAGGGACGGGACCCGGTGAGAGAGCTTTGAATCCTAACCATCACCGCTCAGGGCTACCTAATTCCTTCCCGTACCGCCTGGTGGGCGGGGAATCCGGATGCAGTGGTGCGATGTATCATCTTCCCTTTCTAGTGACATGTGAGGGGAAGCGCCTACTATTGCTGCCTGCTACTGGAGTTACTGCTGTGGCTCAAGGCTTTGGAACTCAAGGCTTGAGACTCACACCCTGCTGGTGATGGTTGCAAGACAGGTAATATTAGCAGAGCCAAAGCAGGCACTCCCGCAGCCTTTGTACAGGCTAAGTGCTAGCCATGCTGGGGGTCTCAGGTTCCAAGAACAGTGATGTATTCGTATCGGGCTAAGTCATGAAATGTCTCCAGCAGGTACCCAGGTTTCTGGAGCAAGGGCCGTCCGGGGAGATTTTGGAGCTGGAGTGTTTAGAGCCCCAGCAGCATTTCCACCTTTTGCTTTGTGTTTCAGACTCCGACAGCCTTTCCAGCCCGACCCGCCTAAGCCTCAGCCTGTCAGAAGGGGAGGAACAGATGGACCGGCTGCAGCAGGTGGAGCTGGTCCGCACCACGCCCATGTCCCACTGGAAGGCAGGCACAGTGCAGGCATGGCTGGAGGTGGTCATGGCCATGCCCATGTATGTCAAAGCCTGCGCTGAGAACATCAAGAGCGGGAAGGTAGGCGAGCCAGTTACGTGTCTGAGCCGTTGGTAGCGATCTGCTGTCCGCCCAAAGTGCATGATCCCAACCTACCCTCTGAGAGGCGAGGGGCTTCAAGAGCCAGAAGTGGGGCCATGTGTTCCAGCTCCCGCCCATCTTCACTCACAGCCAATGTTCCTTCTCATTTTTTATCCAGTCATGTGCAGAATAAATATTGTTATGTGCACCAAGGCAAGTGTGGATGTGCACCACCCGTAGAAACACATGCTTCTGGGTGTGGCACTCTACTAATCAGCCGGGCAGCTGCCCAAGCGCTCAACTTACAGGGAATACTGCTCACAGCCAACTTAATCAGTGAGGAAAAAAATGTTTAGTTGGGATGAGAATTCCATCGTTAAAGCAGGGGATTGTTGCTAGCACCACTCATCCCGCTCTGTTATCCCCCACCACACGCAGGCTGGTCACTGCTAAGGTGAGAGCCTTCTTCACCACAGCTTCAGCCATTGACAACAGTTTTCCACCTCGTTGCAAAGGTCAGCTTCCCACTTTGCCCACACCCACTGTTGCTATTTAATCTCTATTTATGTTATTTTTCATTGGTGGGCTTTTCTGTGGTGCTCTTCCCTAGACGATGAATCAGTTAATTCATCTTCACTGTAGCTCTGTGCGGGTGTGTGTGTAGGGGGGAACCATTATGCCCATTTCACAGATGAAAAAAGTGATCACGACTAAGTGTCATGGCCAAGGTAACACACACAGTTTGTGGCAGAGCCAGGAACAGGACCCAGTTCCCAGTCTTGTGTCTTACTTTTTCCCTTCCACTCTATTGTTTTGTTAGTTAATACTGAGTGTAAAGCATTTTGGGTATAGTTTCTGAGTACTCACACAGCAAACTGCCTGGCTGTTATCTGAGTGACCTAAGTCAATGGCTGGGATTCATTGTTGTCTTTTCTTGGAGAGCAGATGTTGCTAAGTCTGAGCGATGAAGATTTGGCCACAGGGCTTGGCGTATGTAGCTCCCTTCACCGCCGCAAACTAAGGCTGGCAATAGAGGATTACAGGGATGCTGAAGCAGGCAAATGGTAAGCTCTACCTGTGGGTGTCAGAACCACATTTTCTACATTCCACGTGCATGCATGCATATCTGTCCACGTGTGCTTGTGTGGGCATGTACGTATCCACATACCTGTACGTATAAGTGCATGAGCGTGTCCACCTGCATGCATGCATACTTTGTGTGTGTGCGTGCATGTGAACGTGCATGTGTGCACCACGCACATGCATATAGGTGTATTCATGTTTGCATTTACATGCTATCCTCAGAAGGCAGGTAAACTTTCTGAGGGCAGCGGGGAGAAGAAAGAAAGCGAGCGAGAGTGTGAGGTAAAAAACCCCAAATGTCAGGGGGAAATTATTACTGCTCTTCTTAGTGTGAGAGAAAACTCACTTTAACAAAACTGACACTTTTGTGTTGCATAATTACTTCCTTCAGTGACTTCCCTGTCATTTTTGCTCAGTTAATTAATCAATTCTAGAGTGTGGTGCTGCTCCTGCAGAACTGCCCTGGGTGATCAAAAAATAAATCTACTGCATTTAAAGCCACAAAACTAAGCACAACATGAACTCCCCAGTGAGATTTGGGAGCGGGGCTGGCTAGCAATTCAGCACAGAGGCTAGAGCAAGATTTTCCTAAAATCAAATCCCCCGGTAAAAGCAAAACAAATAGTTGCCAATCGGTTAGTATTTATCTTCTCTGTTTCCTGGAGTAGGATTTAAAACCTAATCTAGTGAGTGGGTTGCATGAGTGGCTGCCTTCATCTCAGTGGGCCGCAAGACTGTCATAACCAAGACAGTTTCCTAGGAGAGTGTAGTTTTGCTCACTGCTCTTACGTACCTAACGTTTGCCAGGTCACCGGTTGAACTGTAGCAGCACTTTGATTGGCTGTGGAGGGAGTGCACAGTTCTCCCAGTCAATGTCACTTCACATGCCCTTGCTTTACTTTAGTAATACCGGTAAATTATTCGTTTTCTTACCAATGCGAAAATTGGAAAGGCTCTTTTGCATTGAAGCCTGCCTTTCTGCTCAGTTTCTGCTTTGTTATAGACCTCAGAGCTGGGAATAGGGATGGCGAGGTTAGATTAGCGAAGGGCTAGTTAACCCTTTAATGAATTAATCTATTGAACAATGTCGTGCCGACTGCCCCAGCAGCTGGGTGACTCCCGCCTAATTGCAGGGAACAAAACCCAAGTCTTTGCCTGCAGGTGACAGGTGTCTCTAAGGAAGCACAAGGGATTATAGAGGGGTAAATATACAGGGCAAGCCGCAGGAGAACCATGCTTGGAGTTGAGTCTCCCACCTGTCATGGGTGGTGTTTTAAGTAGCATTATGAGTGAAGACATGCAGTGATTAGCATGGACGCATGTCTCCACGTGCTGTGACTCGCCCCCGTGTGTTATTGCCTCACCCCCCACACGGAAGACATTAGAAACATGCAGAGATGGAGGCTCCATTTCCAGATTTGCCTGTCCCATTGACAGACGCACACCTTCCTTTGTGCCTCACCAATGGTCTTCCCTGCTGCGATGCTGACATCTTGTGGCTAGCTGGTGAGCAACGCGGGCACATGCCTGGCCTTTCTGTGCCAGCCACTGCAGGGAGTCCTGATAGGAGATGGGCAACCCCGAGTAATCGCACCCACCCTGGGTTGGTATTTTTTCAAAGGGGAAAAGACACAATAATCAACCCAGCACCAGTCAGCGCATTTCCTGCTTTGTTCCTAAAAGTAGGAAGCCAAACCACCCTTCCTTGTAGATGTTAAAGCGTAGGTCAAATCCCAACAGTAATTTACACCCAGATCCAGCAAAAGAGTCGAGCACGTGCTTGGCGCTAGGCCTGTGAGTGATCCGACTCCAGCCAATGAAATCTCTGTAGAGACCTTGCAACCGGGGTGAGTCGCTGCCATGTTTGTGACCTGCCCAAAGCCCATCCCTAACTCACGTTTGCCACGCTCTTACCCCTTCTCTGGCGTGGCCCCTCAGCCACGTACAGGGTGGGCAGCATGGAGATCGGTGGCGTTCTCCTTCATACTAGGGATGTAAAATCCCATTTAATTGGTCAACTGCTTAAATGTTATGTTTAACCAGTTAACCACTTAAACAGGGGTGGGTGGGATGCTGGGGGGTGGGTAGGAGTGGCCCCCTGCTGTGGGCAGGGACGGCTCTGGTTTGGCTGGAGCACTTCCTGCCCACGATGAGGCAGGTTACATCGACTGCTGGTTAACCATAACCGGGAAACATAACCCGGTAAGGATGATGCTTACCAGTTAACCAGATAACCGGTTAACCATTCACATCCCTACATTATATGAGTGTGGAGTTCTCCTCCATAAAGGGAATTTCCCATTGGCATAAGGCTCAGGGTTACAAAGTGACTGGAGCAGACCAGAGAATCCGGCCCACTGCCTGCACAGCCTTTGTGGAAGGTGTTTGCATGATTTTGAACATGGGGTACCAGCAACCTCATGCCCTTTGGTTGTCCTCTGTATACTCCGCAGCTTGTCTAAAGCCTCCGAACTGGACCACCACTGGGTGGCCAAGGCCTGGCTGAACGATATCGGGCTATCCCAGTATTCCCAGGCTTTCCAGAATCACCTCGTGGATGGAAGGATGCTGAACTCGCTGATGAAACGTGATTTGGAGAAGTACCTTAATGTGTCTAAAAAGTTCCATCAGGTCAGCATATTGCTGGGGATAGAGCTGCTTTTCCAAGTCAACTTCAGCAAAGAGGTGAGATCAGAAAGGGTTCAAGCAGGTGGTTGGGTTTGCTCCAGAATATTTGGCATCCTGGGTGAATTATTTGCCTTTCTAGCGCTCCTGGCCAGTGCATGTTCTCAGAGTGCTCTGCATTCTCTGTGCCTGTCTCTCATCGATCAATTACGTTACGTGGAACAGCATGCCCGCGTCTCTCCCTGGCCTTGTGTTACAGAAATAGTCCTACCGCTCCATAAGGGCAGGGAGTGGAGATTTCAGAGCTCCTCATCTTTCCAGGAACAGCATTCACCTACATTGGGGTTTTCCCAGGCAGTGCCTCTTGCTTGATCCCCTGCCTTCTGTCCCCACCATTCACATGACAGGCAATGTTTGGGATTTTTCAGAGCAGTCACTGCAGCTCAGAAAAAGCCCTGGATGGACCACTTCCTAATTGGTCCCTCCCTGCATCTGCATCTGATTGGTCCATTCCCCTGCCAGATCCTGCCTATCCATGACTCGGGCTCCCAGTCCCTGGGCGGGGGGTTCCGCAGGGAGGCATTGACTGATGGTTGGTGGTGTGTTCTGGGCTTGCATCTGAGCATGGAAGCAACACTGCCCTCCTCCTATGCACTGCAAGTATCCGTTCCAGGACCCCATACTCATCCCCGTAACATACAACTCCAGCACCCCCAACTGTACCTCCCTCCAGCTCCTCCTTCTCCCTCCTTTTCAAGCTTTTCCCTCCCTTCTGTCAGGGCCCTCTTTTTGGAAACCTGAGCTATGGTAACCCCACCTGATCCCACAAGGCAGGAACAAAATAACCCTTTAGCTTGGGCGAGGGAGGGGAATGAAAGGGCCACATTGGACTCCATTGGAAGATGTGGCAGTTCCTCAGATAACATTAACCGATTTTCCTTCCTCAACACCAAGGGATTCTTAGAGAGATAGGTAGGTAGGTAGCTGGTTACAATTGTTGTAGAAGGAGAGGCATCCCAAGATGTTAGAGAAAGAAAGCGGGGAAGCAGTTTTGGTGTTTTTTAACAAACAAAAAAAGCAGTGTGCTGGTACTAGGGTTGCTAATGGTTTTGTTGAGCAAAAACAAAAACAAAGAAATGGCCAGGGAAAACTTGTCAAGCAAAAAAACAAAAGGGCTGGGGAAAACTTGTCAAGCAAAAAAAAATGGCCGAAATGCGGTTGCGGCCCCTTTAATTGCCACGTATCCCTAGTGGGCTTCCGTACGGCGTGGTGTGAGTGCTCCCATGGCTGGGGGCTATGCCAGAGAAAAGCAGTGTGTGTTCCCCCAAAAAGGTGACGGTACACTGTACCAGTGCGTACCGTCACAAAGGAGGCCAGGTCTCTTATTGGACTAACTTCTATTGGTGAAAGAGACCAGCTGTTGGGCCTACACAGATCTTGAAGAAGAGCTTTGTGTAAGCTGGAAAGCTCAGCTCGTTCATCAACAAGTGTGGGTCCAATCAGCTGTATTGCCACACTCGCCTTGTCTCGTGAGAAGCGATCCCTCCTGTTTGAACCATTTCTCACAGGGCCATCCTTAGGATTTATGGAACCCTATGCAGTGCTATTAAACTGGTACTCCTATGCCCAAAGGCAGCTGGAGTGGGGACGATTTTTACCATCTTCAGCAACACACTATTGAAATATTTTTAAAACGCATTTTAAACTAAGGCCCTGTAGACCAACACAGGAAATTCAGAACCTGCCAGTCTGCACCCGGGGTTGGCAAATGCCTGTGAAATGGCTTCATTCCCGCTTGACTGGCTGTTTCACGGGTTCAGTGCTCTGCTCATGGCTCTGGCCTGCTTTTTCACTTAAAGTGAACTAGAACCTCTCCAGAGGAAGCAGAGCCACAGAAGAGGGATAGGAAGAGGCAGGCGGGTGGACATTGAGACCCAGGGATGCCCCACATTTTCAGGTGCCCTTCCCAACTGCGTATTTTGCATATGGGTTAGGATGGCCTTGATTTTTTATTGGCCCTTGCTGCTGTCTGACCATCTAAGATCCCAGGAGAAGGGACTTCTGGATCTTAGGCTCTCCAAAGGCAGAAGAGGGCATTGCTGTGGTCTTTGTGGAAGAACAGATTCCTTAGGAGGGATCTGAAGAAGAGATGACAGGGCCTGTTTTACTGACAATAACTAATGTCCACGTGTGCAGGTTCTGCAAGAGAGGAGGGCTCGCTGCGAGACTCAGAACGTCGATCCGCTTGTCTGGACAAATCAACGGGTGCTCAAGTGGGTGCGGGACATTGACCTGAAGGTAGGTGCTGCTTGTGAGGAAGTGGGTGCCAAGAGAGATGTAATAGGGAGGAGAAGAGTCTGCCTGGGCAGGGTTCAGTCTTCGTCACTCAGGCCTGGAGATCAAAGCTCCGGAGATTGATTTTCAGCTATTTGATTTAGCGGGTCTAGTAAGGACATGCTAAATCAAATGCTGAGAGTGCCCTGTTGACCCCAGTACTCCACGGAGTTGTGAGGAATAAGAGAAGTCAAGGGGAGAGTTTCTCCCGTTGACCTCTTGCCATGGGGTCACCCCAGAAATTCAGTTTAAGGCACACCAATTCCAGCTATGTAATTCTCAGAGCTGGAGTTGTATATTTTAAGTCGAATTTCTCCCCCAGTGTCGACCTGGTCTCAGATCTCAAGTGGGTGTCAGAATGATGAGATATACCAATAGCACTATGAATGTGGTCCCTGGAACATGACGGTCATACAGGATAGAGAAAGCCATGTCAAGTTATTTGCTGCCACAGACGGCATCTGCTGACATCCTAGCATCTACCATCAAGGGAGGGGGCAGACGTGTCCTTTCTTGTCGGGTAAATCCGTGCTCTGGTGGTTGCTTTCAGGAGTACGCGGACAACTTGACGAACAGCGGCGTGCATGGGGCTGTGCTAATGCTGGAGCCCACGTTCAATGCGGAAGCCATGGCCACGGCTCTGGGCATCCCGAGCGGCAAGCACATCTTGAGGAGGCATCTTGCAGAGGAGATGAACGCCATCGTTAACCCAGACAAGTGAGGCCCTTTGCAGCATTCGCTCAGTAGCTGTTGGCGGGGGAGGTTGGTTGTTCTCGTCTCGTGGACTCGCTGGGGATGGTGCTGTCATTGGGATGTGAGGGACGGGATCCCTCAATACGGCCAGGGAGTTTGCAGCCCTCTCTCCCTCCCCCGTTGCCATGGTGCTCTTCTCTGCAGATGCAGGGAGGTTTTGTGGGAAGGGGTGGGACTAGGAAAGGCGATTGGGGCAGGGCTAGTGGATCTGGGAAGTAGCTATCCCTGCACACAGAGGGAGCAGCAACCATAGGGGCTGCTCCAGCTTTCTGATGCAAAAGCAGCTGCAGAAGCAGCCTGGGCATGGACTCTTTGTTAACCAGCAAGCACGTGGCTGGGCCAGATTCAGAACCCATCCAAGTGAAGTCAGCGGGATACCTTCCCTTGACTTCAAACAGCATGCCCGTGGTACGTGAGACATCTGCGGCCGGATCCTTCCAGCAGCTCAGGAACAGGTCCCACTGTCCCAAAACGGAGTGAGTGCTGGGGACAACCCTGCAGGAAAGGGGAGTGTCCCGTTGTATTTCCTGTGTCACACTGAAGTTAAGAAGGAGGAAGGACGTTCAAAGCACGGAGAGGCGGCTGCTGACCTGACTGCCTGCCAAAAGAACAGACCTGTTCAAAGAGCCGGTATTCTCCAGGCAGTAAATCTTAACAGCCACGGAAACAGAAACCCTCTAACAAACTAGAAGAGCCAGAAAGTCAACACCCCTCTCAAGCACAAACCATCATGTGGCCCTTTCCCAGTAGAACAGATTCTCAAGAAGGTGTATTTGTGTACGCAGCCTCTGCAGAGAGTCCTACTGTAGTAGGCAGGAAGGGAGACGTCTGATGAGGGGGGACATCTGATGAAATTTACCCATGTGCAAAAGGCCAGCAGAAAACTCCAGCACGTAGATTTCATTTACCATCATACACAGATTGCCCAAGTCACAGCTAAACTCTGGAGGCGTAAAAGGATTTTAAGTGGTGCAGCGTCATAACTAGGTATTTTTGTGCTTGGGGTATAAATATGAATTATGTGCCCCCTCCTCTCCAAATTAAAAAATGTCTCTAGTTTGCTAATTTTTATTTATCTTTACTTCAAGAAAAATCAATTATGAATTAGTACAGTAATATAACAAATATATTTTCAATAATATTAGGAATATATTTTACATAGACAATTAAAAAAAAGTCGATAAATAAAATATGATCCTTAACAAACAATAATATACATAAAAGAACATATAATAAATGACAAAAGAACTTTACAGAGTCTTTCAGCACTCCTGTTTCGCTGCATCAGGCCTCGGAACAGGCTCGTGTAAACTGGGGCTTAGGTTAGCCCATGTCACACTCTTTACTTTTGCAGCTTATTATTTTAACGTATTGCGTCTTTGCGCCCCTGATGATGATGTGCCCAGGACGAGCACCCCGCTTGTCCCACCTTTGTTATGGAACTGAAATTGATAGCTGTGTGTAGGAGCTTTCACCCCATGAGGAGTAAGGGGATAATTTTGCCAGGTATACACCCTAGTCTCAATCAACTGCGGTTGAGTGTTGATTTATGTATGGACCAAAAGAGGAAGTCACCCATCCTTTCCCCGGTTCCTTTTCACTGCCTAATTCTGCTGAGTGCTGCCTGCCCAATGGGAAAGAAGAGATGGCTCCTACGCCGAGTCCTGACCAATGACTTTGGAGGAAACCTTGGCATCCCTCCTCATTGATGCTGTCAAGCACCTCAGGCAGGCTGATGGTTGAGCTGGGGAGAGAGGCGACAGATATTCCATATTTCACAGGCAACTGTACCACATGGCCTGGATTCTGTCCCCACATGAGTGATTGCCAAAAGCAGGGTGAATGGATGGGGATCCCCGAGGATGAAGCAGGGGCAGGCAACCTGACCTTGCACAGAGGCATCCGGTAGGATATAAGCACCTGTGTGCATGGGGTGTCACATTTCTATCCACCCTGAGCCCCCTAATGCCATAGGCAAGCCAGGGGTCACAGCATGACCTGCATCTGACAAAGTGGGTCTTTGCCCACAACAGCTTATGCTCTAAATCTGTTAGTTTATAAGGTGCCATAGGACTCCTCATTGCTTTTGCAGATTCAGACTAACACGGCGACCCTTCTGATACTTGAAGCATTACCTGGTACCTCTCCTATTTGGGAGCACAGAAGTTATTGATTGTCTACAGCGGCCAGCACATTCCAGCTGCTTTTCTAGCTTTTGCACCCAAGCAGCAGAAGGAATTGTCCATAGCGGAGTGTAGGAACCAGGGACAGTACTGACCTGATAGGAGGAAAATACATGTTGGGTTTGGTAAATGTAAGAGGAATAAGTTATCCTTTCATCAGTGTTAGTAGCCAATTTTCATGTTTTTGGGAACTAAACATCATTGTGTGCTGTTCTTTTAATGATGTTTATTTAACATTTGTTCATAATTTTAATAGGTAGCAGGTTTAAAACAAACAAGAGAAAGTTTTTCTTCAAGCAGCACGTGGTTGTCCTGTGGAACTCCTTGCCAGAGCAGGTTGTGAAGACTAGGATTTTACCAGGGTTCAAGAAAGAACTAGATAAATTCGTGGGGGTTAGGTCCATCAATGGCTATTAGCAAGGAAGGGTAGGAATAGTGTCCCTAGCCTGTTTGTCAGAGGCTGGGAATGGGTGACAGGAGAGGGATGACTTGATGACTCCCTGTTCTGTTCACTCCCTCTGGAGCATCTGGCATAGGCCACTGTTGGCAGACAGGATACTGGGCTAGATGGACCTTTGGTCTGACCCAGTACGGCCGTTCTTATGTTCATAATAGTGAAATCGTAATGAAGCTGCTTATGCTATTTCCAAGCAATCTTGTTAACGTGTCTTGGTGAAATGTATGTTTGTTATGTTTCAGTAACGAATTAAAACATATAGGCAAGGAGTATGTTCCAGTGGAGACAGCAGGAGAAATGGGAGTCAGGACTCCAGGGTGCTTTATCCTGGCTGTGCCACTGACTCATTCTGTGACCTCCGGCAGGTCATTTAACTTGACTGTGCCTCCATTTGCACATCTGTAAAGTGGACATAACAATACTTGCCTACCTCTCAGGAGTGTTGTGAGAATTAATGTTTGTAACTTGCTTTGAGATACAGAGGTGACAGTGCAAACTATCATTACAGTGTGTTCAAATTTCTATATATTAAACAGCCAAATAAATCACCAGGACAGGCTGTGGCTTTTAAGATGCTTTGTTTTTGGAGGCCTCTGAGCAGAAGATGTGTTTTGTGGGCTCTTCCATTGAATGTAGACTCTCAATTCATCGCTCTGGCTGTGAGGGTCTTCAGTTGTCACTCAGCTTATGGACTGGGAACGCTTTATAGATTGCAATCTCCTAATGCAGAATGGTAGAAAAACAAATCAAAGGAGCTCCGTTCACTTTCTATGGGAGAGTCCTCTTCCCCAGTGGATATTCTAGTAGCTTCCATTAGAGTCCTCTAGTTGGTTTAATTCTACTAGTTCTTACTGGTCTCTGTTAATTTCTACTGGCCTTTTTTGTTTTCTCTTCTCCAATAGAACCTCAGACTTATGACCACCTCGGGAAAGGAGTTGTTCGTAACTCTAAAGTGTTCATAGCTCTGAGTAAATCACGGTGGTTTTTCTTTCCAAAATTTACATCTGAACATTGATGTAATACAACTTTGAAACTTTACTATGCAGGGAAAAAAAACCCCACTGCTTTGAACCATCTTAATTTAAAAGAAATAAGCACATAAATAAGTCTCCAGGGGGTAGAGCTGTGTTAATCTGTAACTTTAAAAACAACAAGTAATCGTGTGGCACCTTAGAGACTAACAAAAATATAGATAGCATCATGAGATTTTATGGGCAAAACCCATTTCATCAGGTGAGCTGGAGAGGAATAAAAGCAACCCAGAATTTATCATTTATTTTTTCCTTCTTTTTCTGTTATAAATTCTAGGTTTCTGTTATTCCTCTACAGCTCATCTGAGGAAGTGGGTCATGCCCTTGAAAGGACATGATACTATTAGGGATTTTAGATTCTGGGTAATTGAATAGTTGTGTAACCTCATGAAGTGTTATGAGTTACACAACTATTCTGTTGTCCCTGGGGGCGGGAGCAGCAGCCAGTGTACTCCTGCCCCACTCCTAGAGAGCCCCCTGCCTTTGCACTGCTGCCTCAGTATCAGATCCCCTCATGGACTGGCAGCCTACCATGCCGCGCGGGCGTGGGGTGCCAGCAGCCCTGTCCATGAGGGTCTGAGCTCCTTGTGGACAGAGGCTGCTGCCGCAAACCAGCCTCTGTTCGTGGCAGACCCAGACTTGCCACAGACAGAGGCTGTTCTGTGGGATGCAGAGCAGCCTCTATCTGTGGGGAGCTCGGCTCCCCCACAGTCGCGGACAGGGGCTGCACTGCAAAGCAGCCTATGTATCCCTAGATACTATATATATTAGGGTGCCACAGGACCACTCGTTTTTAAACCACAGTAATAGTTTCCTCAACATGTCGCATCTTTGTTTAAACTTTCCCTTGTTTTAGTAGCTTACATTTAACACAGGATTGACAATAGTTTCCTCAACATGTCTCATCTTTGTTTAAACTTTCCCTTTTTTTAGTAGCTTACATTTAACACAGGATTGAGCAATGTTTGCTGCTGCTGCTTCTGCACCCCTCCCCCGCTGCTGTCAGATTGCGGACTTACGGTTCCGAATGAGGTGTGACTGGTCAGCTGGTAACTCTGGTATTCGTAAGTCTGAGGTTCTATGGTAGAGTCATAGATTTCAAGGCCAGAAGGAACCACTGTGATCATCTAATCTGATCTCCTGTGTAACACAGGCAATCGAACATCCCCCAAATAATTCCTTGAGCAGATCTTTTGGGGAAAAAACTCATCCAGCTAGAGGGCCAATAGAACCAGCAACCAGTACATTGCTCTGTTCACTTAACTGCCAACTGGAAGCAGGAGAAATCTTCCC